TGGAGTGATAAATATACGTTCAATATAGATAATTACCTTTGGTACAAATACGAGACATAACGTAGCTGTTGTACAGAAAATAATAAATAATGATATAATAACAAACATGGCATCTTTACGGTCAGATAAGACTATGCTATTGCTGCACCCATGATGCACATCAGCACGACATTATAGACAGATAGTCCGACATGTTTAGAATCATTGAGCGCGGGAATAGAAACGTGACGTGTCTCCCAGGCCAGAAACGCTCCAAAATCTAAAAATTACATTTACTTATAATCTAATTAATACCTTAAAAATGATTAAATTAATGGAAAATTACCATTAATAGTCCTTGTAAGCGTATTTACACCTACGAATATCGTCATTCTTTCAGATTGACAATATTCATTTTCTCTCACCACTAGCACATCTTCCGAAGTAGGATGAGGCTATTTCAATAAAATACAATTTTAGTAAAATAACTTATACTAAGTAACAGCAGTAACAAAAATACGAACATAAGGTTCCATTTGTTTTGTCGCTCTGTAAAACGGATCTGCAACTTGCCAAGTTGTCATAATTGCTAAATCTACGGCTAACAGGACTCCTACGACCATGAACAGTTGATAATCTTTGATTACCTATGAATATAAATATTCAGGGCAAATAAAAAAAAATTGTTTTTTTTGCACATTTACAATATACCTTTTTATTTAATTTAACATCCGTAAATATGCTATGAACTCTCCATGTCTTCGAGAACATTGCTCCAAACGCAAGGCTGAAACCAGCCATAAGCAACCAAGCTCTGGCCGTGCATATATAAGGGAAAGCGCGAACGCTGCTGAGACCACTATCAAGTCCAAGAAATATTACACTGAGGTATGTCAACATGCAGCCAACTATGATCAAATTGTTCAAATGCGGGCTGGACATTTTGATGTACCTATAGAAAGTAATAAATTATTGTTAACAATATATAAGATGAATTCTGTGTGAATGTAGGTATATAAAGTACCTCTGATTTCTGTTTTATATTGATGGCTAGAAACACGGAAGCCATAACGATGCCGAGCGCGGCGCAGCTAGCGAGCACAGCGTAAATTGTGATATTGACCTGGCTGTGTTCTACTAGATGGAGTGTCCTGTCCTTAGGCGGAGCGCGACCTATCCAGCGCAACGGCTCGCCAAGCTCCAGATCCAGCCTTTCATGCTGGTCAGTAGTGTTCGGTACATATTCTCCAACCTAAATACGATAAAAACAATCATTGCAATTGATTAGAATGGACAAACCAATGTTCTCAAATTTCTATTACCTTAACTTCAGCTCCGTTTTGAAATTGTTTGAGTAAAATGCTGGCGCGACGTTCATTATCATAAAACCTCACAGGACCCTGAAATTATATTTTCACATCAAATTAATTTAGCCTCACAAATTATTATGATTTTACCATACCGTGACTCCTTCAAAGCTGGTATTTTTGAGCGCCTCCAGAAACAGAGCGCCCCACATAGGATCACGATACTTAAAATCTGCCACAGACTGCTCACGTTTCAGAGACTTTACGCGTTGGGCAACGTGCTGTATGGCAATAGCCACTGCCCAAATTCCATCATATGTATATCCATGAAATCTTGAATACTCGTTACCTCGTCTGCTATCGTACTCGGCTTGATACTCGTCCGCCGTCTGAAGGTGATTTAATTTTAATAACATATTGACAATACAAAACAAGAGACTACGTTTTTTACTTACGATTCCTGAGATTGTAATGTGTCCCGACGTAGACAAAGGTAACAGATCGGTCAGGATAGTCGATTCTAAAGCAATTGTTAATTCTTCTACAGTACAATTAATGTCTGTTGGCTTAGTCCACCATTCTGAATTATAGTTTCCCATAATAAGCCACTGGTAAGCACGACCAAACATCTCGAATCTAAAATGATATAAATGGAGATGCAGCTGATGAAGGAAACTATAAGCAGCTTATGAAGAAGTTAAAAAAAAAAACTATTTGAAAACGTTTGTCTACTATTCAAATAGAAGAAGTATCACCTGAATGCTTCGCAGAAAACTCTTCTAGCCCAACTTTCGTTAAAATTGCCCAAAATCACCCGGACGTCTTTGTTGCGCAACTTCCACAGCGCGTCTGTGACATCCGTAGTAAAACTTTGTGTTTCAACCACTTCGAGTCCCAGCATATCCAATTCGGCGACGAGTCGATTATGGGCCTCAATTGATATAATAAATGATTATTTCTATAAATATTTGTTTTAACTAGTTGCACTATCTATTATCAACTCACGAGTGAATATCTAGGTTCGTTCTGGTACACTGTTCCGACCCTGGTCCAATTGAATTGTCGTAGTAGAGCGAGTCTCGGCGCATTGAAAGCGTTTTCCGACGGAACAATCCTAAAGAAGTTGGGAAACGCCTCGCTGGTGAACATCGGATGTGTGTCGGCATAGGAGAGCTGCGTCAGTTGCCAGTGTTTGGAGGCCTTCGCTATCGGATCGGTGACGTGCGTGCAGGCAGCGCCGAACAGCATCAGCTTGTGAGGACCAGAGTGCATCATGTCGAAGAACGCTTTCACTCCTACCGCGGCGTTACACTGAAGAAAAAAAAAAGGATACACGATGTAAACATTGATCACAACACATTAAATAATATTCAGTCATACAAAGTGCTATACCAATATCAACGTTATTTTGCTAATAATTGTATATGTGTAAGATTGAGACAACCTTCCTGCCGATAGTTCTTTTTTTCCGATTTTTCTTATATTTCCTTTTAACCTTCTTAGTTTGAAATTTATATTTCTATTATATTTGCAATTATTTTTTAACTAAATTCTCATTTTGATACTCGGCTTATTTTTATTTCTGATTTAAAAATTTTACGCAATCGCCAGAATCAAGACATTAATCAATTTCAAACTTGAAATTGTATTGTCAATATTCAAACTATACTGACACAATATTACAAATATCTTAAAATTCACAAAGAAAAAGCTCATGTATTATCCAAAAAATCGATTTGCTAATTTCATGTCTAGTGATTGGGCCGTTCAGCGCCAAATTTGAAAAAAGTATCTGTGTTTGTGTAAGCCAAAATTTAACATTTCTTAAGAACAGCTGTTTTACTTTATAAAAATATATACAATAATTTCATAAAACTTAAAAATTAACTAAAATCATTAATTATCATTTACTAATTTCGCATGAGAAGTTGTTGTAACGATGTTCTCGAAAACTCTGCCTTTTCAGGAAATGCTATGATGCCTAATTAAAATTGGCAAAAGGTCTTGATGGCCCCTTAACACGCTATCGAGGCGCTTTATCAAACTATTACTCGTCAAATACCGAAAATATTTTTAACACTTCTTAAATGACTTGAGAAACTAGTTGGATGTATTAACATATTTATTTTAAAGTATTGATATTGTTCATATAATTGCAATTACAAATTAACACGTGTATGACAAAGCAAACTTAAACAAAATTAAATAAACTATTGGCGAAAAATATAAATTTAGTTTATATGTTAAAATATCATACTTGCAAAGAAATAATGAAGTTGATTCATGATGTTTTGTTTTGGCATCTAAGCAAGAAGTTATACTGAACACCCGGCGCGTTTATATTCGTTATTGAAAATCATTTGGCAATTTCGTGAGTCATTTGAATTGAGATCAACGCACTTTTTAACATAAATTACTATAGTACAACTTATACTTATGTTGTACTTATAGTACAACACTATCATATTTTATCAAATAAAAAAAATTAATATTTAGAAAGGTTTCATTTTTATAAAAATGTTTCAAAGTTTTTAAATAAAATAAATTGATTTTTTTTCAATTTAAGGCAAATAATTCAACAATTTCTTTAAGTACTCAAAAATTCCAAATATTTAACAATGTCGAAAAAAAACATACTGAAAAATTTATAAATAAACAAAATTTAAAATGAATGAATATTATACTTATCACAAATAAATATTTTACAGAAGGAACTTTTCCAGTTCAAGTTGATAAAGTAAGACATTATGAGTGCTTTAAAAAGCTTCATTAATTCATTACCGATCATTTTAATGGTAATTGATATTTTGATAAGTTCAGTTTTTATATTTGATTGTTAATTTATAAAAATAGAAATTCTACTATTGAACAAGGAATTTTTATTTAAAATTGTACAGTTTCGAAATAAATGCATTCCACTATTATGATTTTCATAATGTAAAAATATATTATTTATAGTTTTTGGTATAAAACCTTGATTAAATAGTGTAACTATATGTACTCAATTTTACTGATGAGACATATTTGTTCTCAGCTTTCAAATCAAACATGTTAAGAAATTCAAAGATGTTAGAATAAATGATCAATAGAATTTTTGAATGCCCCAAAATATGTTCAAAAATGTTCAATTTATGAAGTCGCCGACTTCAACACAGTGAGCAATGAACTACGAACACATTCAGACAATTATAAAAGCAGCCTTGAGGATCACCCAAACTCACTTGTCAGAGAACTTTGTCATATCACTACCAGAATTGAAAAGAAGTCATGTAAAATTAATATGTGTCAGCCGCAAAATCTCTGAGAATGGTTAGAAGATTCTGTATTTTAAAAAGTCCTTTTTTAACTTCCCGTAGGGTAAGTTATTGTAATGGGCCGAAAATCGGAATTGAAATTTTTTACATTTCTCGACGTTTTGAAGGTTTCTGAACGTTTGGCATACCTCAGAAAAAATGGATGTGTGTGTGTGTGTGTGTGTGTATGTATGTGTGGATACAAATTTCCAGTCACGTTTTCGGGCGCACCGATCAACCGATTTGAATGGTTCAAAAACATTCGATTCCTATTGATAGGGAGAAGAGCTGATAAGTTTTTGGCAAAGGCAGGTCCAGCAGTTTCGGAGATACGGAGCAAAGAGTGCAGAAAATAGAAATCGAGTTTTTGAGAGAGAACGGAGTATCTGATTTGAATGATCTAAAAAACATTCAATTAGTAATGATTGGGAGAAGTGTTTATTTTTTTGGCAAAGGCAGGCCCAGCCATTTTGAATATACGGAGCTAAATATGTAAAAAATGGCCGTTTTTGAGAGAACTAAGCGTCCGATTTAAATGATTCAAAGAACTTTCTGCTTGTCTTAACAAATAATCGATTTTGGAAAAAATTGTCCCTTTTTTTTTAAGTTTTTTGTATATCGAAAATATTTATTTTTAATTCTGACTATAGTTCTAATATACTTTACAAATAATTTCAACTCTGCAATTCAGTTTATTAATTTATAAATATTAGACAATGTTACAATATTTATAATAATCTATTTGAAAAAATTCAGTAATCATCCTAGTTCCAGCAATTTGCCTTAAGGCACGATGCCACCCACCCCACTAGTTATCCTACAATTTCTATTAAATAATAAATTAAACAATATAACTTGTTCAAACCGTTCGCACATAATTATATCTCGTTCTCTCAAAAGTTGGAGCTATCTTATCTTAATAGAATAAAAATAAAAATGAGAAGAAACCCTTTGAGACGTCCCGTCGTGTACCGCTGTACCGCTGTACCGGTGCCGCTGTACCGTCGATCGTCATCGTCTGTTTCTCCGGAGAAGCCTGTTCCTTCTCCGCCCCATTCAGTCGTTCAGTCGTTCAGTCGTTCGTGTAGTAGCCTACGGGCAACTTATTGATTTCGCCGCACACGTAGCCCTCCTTCCGCGGCACGCGGATCGCGTCAACGCTACGTCCTTGTCCGCACGCAAACAAACACGCGAGAGATATCCTACCTACGACTACGAGTACGAGTACTATTATATGTAGGCACAATATAATATATAGCTCAGGCTCATAATATGAACGGTGTACACTTGTACAGTGTATGGTGTGCGCTATCGGTATACAACAGAATTTATGCGTGCACGCACACAGGGGCATTCGTTACCTTTGGCGCCTTGCTTTGTGCAACTAAATTGGCAGATTTATTCACGTGCTTAATAATATCAAGTGCATGGCATTGATTTAAGGGAAAGTGATGAAACTTCTCATTCTATAAACAAGTTTTATATGAATAAAATAATTATCAACTAGCTGGATTTGCTAACTTTATATTTTATCAACGTTTCAAGTTATTCTTGATCGAATCGACGAAATTTGGAACTGGTGGTTCATAGCATCATGCCTTATGGCGTAACGAAAACGAACTTACCGTAACGTAATTTATTTATTTTTTTCAAATGTTTTAAAAAGATTTTCTTGAGAATTTTGAAGATTTTTTAGAATTTTTTGTATCATCCATTTTTTTTATTGTAAGACCTTGAAACGTTAAAATATGCAAAAGTTTCCATTTTCGATTTTTTTGCTATTATTAAAACTCTACGAGAAGTTAAAAAGTATTTTTGTGTTTATATTTAACCTTTTCCCGAAATAATCAAGTTATATCTTATAGAGATGGACCGTATAATATACACCCTCGCAGTAATTTGTGATAACTTTCTCAATAAATGTAATGACAAAGACTAGGTTTCACGTAATTGGTATTTGTGAGTTAAAAGGTCGTTCGTAGCATCACCATCACCATCACCATCACCATCGCCATCAACATCAACATCGGCCCAGCATCCCGAATTGACACAATCCAGTGCGTGTTCTGACGATAACGCTACTTTTCCCTCTCCTAGTATGAAATAAATATTATGAGATCGCCGATTCGCCATGTCTTGCCACTTCTCATTTCAACTTTGCCAGGAATCAGATTTATGTAATACGTATCGATATCAAGAAATGAACCGGAAAATTTCACTAGTATTAGTGCCGAAAAAAATACAATATATTTTTTGCTAGATTATTATTAACTTTCCAAAGAGCAAGTTTATGTTTTCGCAAAAAAATCTAATTTCTAATTTTATGTTTTCTCGTTATTCTTATTCGAATGAGATCAAATTTGCAAAAAGTATGCGTGTATGTGTGAGCCGATTTTTGGCCTTTTGTCGACGTTTTCTCAAAAACGGCTGGACTGATTTAAAAAACGATAAGGACTAGCGCTTTCTAACTATTTCTTTGTAATTGACAGAAAAGCGTAAAATTTTTCCTCCACAATTTTTAATCGAGTTTATAAACTCAAAAACTGTTCGAAAGATATTGATTCGCGTTGATTAGTTTTTGATATAGATAGGCCGGACCGTTTCGTATATCGTTTGATCTTGTAGTCTGAAATAACATACTAAAATATTATAGGCCTACGATAAGCGCTTGAATTATAAAAATGCATTAAAGTTTAGTTCTAATCAGAATCTATACCAAAGCATATGCACATTATGTTGTGTTTCGTAAGTAGCTACTGATTACAGTTGACGTCCACACTTAAATATAGTTCGCATTTGCATTCGAGCCGGGCAGGCATTGGACGGATTATGTCAAATAAACAATCCGCCGCAACTGCCTTCCCGATTCGACTACGAATTTATTAATACACATGTTACTAGATTGAAAACCAAAAGTAAGTATACTTAAGTACCGAAGTTCTAAATTGTAATCAATAAAAATGATTTGTGCTAAGGTGATGAGGACATCACTTTTCTTACAACCACACAGTATTTTCGTAATTATTAAAATTTTTCTAATTATATCGTTAGTAACTCGATAGCTGAATGAATTTGTTCTATAAATTGTATTAATATCCGACATTAGCCATTGCTATTGCAATTAGCTAGAAAACCAATAAGCTATCGACGAAAGACACAATATTGACTCTTGGCTCATACATTAAATACAATGATGTTAATTATTGAGATTTTTATATTGAAATACTAAAGGCGACCGTAATACAGAGATCAGAGCCTCAGTCTTGCAACTACTAAAAATCTTGCGCTACATACAAGCATACAACCTGAGTAGTGATATACAAAATATATAAACCCAAATATATTTTTGAGTAAAACTACCCTTTGGCAATATATCACATACGAAAGTAAAAATTTCATCATAGATAGAAAGGACAACCATAGCGTTACCTCCTAATAAAGAGAGGTAGTAGAAAATACATAACAAAACCGCTCGTTAAATACATAGTTCTGATATAAAAAAATAATGAAATGCACGAGGAAACAATTTGCATGACTCAAAAAAACGTAGCACATGTGCTATTATGTTATTTAATCAAAAGTGAATCTTAATAAGAGTGTGCAACATAGAAAGTAATTGTGTCGAACTGTTTGTAATAATTAATTTTGCGATCGATTGCCTTTGCCTTTGCCTTTGCTTTTGCCTTGGTCTGATGTGGATGTGATGTGATTTGAGTTACTGCCTTGGTCTGATGTGGATGTGATGTGATTTGAGTTACTGACCGTGTCCACCACATGTGCAGACGGTAGTTCCGCAGGACTTCATTATGCTCGTTGACGTGGTCGATAGCCAAACGGACGCTGGGCATCACACCGCGGCCTGGAACAAATAAATACATACATACAATTCAAATTAACTCTTCATCTTTTCATTCCAATATAAATAAATATTTTAATAAAAATAAATAAATTGAACCGTCTTGTAAATATAGTCAGTGTACGGGTAATAAAACACAATCATTTTGTACGAGGCTATGCTGTAATAGACCTAATATAAGTTATCATATTTGAAAAATAGTATTTTACAAAAATAATTAAATTAAAACAATAATACTTAATTCTATAAATTTTGTTCTTTTGAATTTAAGAAAGTGTATAAGGTCAAACAACACTATACAATTTTAGGCATTTTTTTAAATTTCTTTTCCCACAGTCAAAATATTTGTATAAATTAGCAATGTAGAATTATATATCGCTGCATATACGAGGTCTGTTCAAAAAGTACCCGGAATTTTCGTTTTTTCAAAAAAATATTTATTTATTCGTCTACATTAATGTGGTCCCCTTCAAAGTAGTCCCCCCAGATATAATACACTTATGCCAGCGTTTTTTCCAATTTTTGAAGCACCCTTGATATTCACTTTTTGATATGTCCTTGAGCACTCTCAGCGATTTTCTTCAATCGAGGAAAACCGCCGTCCTTTCATGGGTCTCTTCAACTTTGGGAATAGGAAAAAGTCACACGGAGCCATATCTGGTGAATTTTTGCACTTTGCAACACTTTATTTCATTTTTTACGCAAAATTTAATACAAATTCTTTGACTTTTCAATTCTTCCATTGTAAAAATCGCCGAGCTCAGAAAAACACGTCGAACCTTAGCGACTACCACAGACAAAGTAAACAGTGAATATAGCTGAAAATTTCATCATACTTTAGGGGCATGTATACCAACACAATAAAAAAAAAATTTGACAATCAGACACTCCAGACCCGCGAAATTTAATTATTAGTAATTCCGGGTACTTTTTGAACACACCTCGTATAGCTAGCGTAATAGATTTATAATATTGAAAATTGATTGATGATTTTTTGTAGAATTTTCAATTAATAACGATCTTATTATTTTTACTTTTTCGTAACATACTATATTACACACAAAATGATGATAGTTACTGTGATTTATTTATTATGTGTGTGTATTTTATGTATATATATATAACTTACAAATCGTACAAATAACAATATAATTAAATTAGTAATTTGTTATTACATAATAAATTATGTTATTAAATAGTATATAGGAAAAATATAGAAGACCACTACATATATTAAAAATTAAAGCATTACTTCGTGACAGAAATTTTAGAAAAAACGTAGTTTTTCTAAACTTCCAAAAGCAAATATAATTAACTTTTAATTTTTATTACTCTTTACACTAGTAAATAATACCTACTTTATAATTTTTCTAAATAATCTGTATACTCATCCTTAATTAATGTTAATCAATCAATTAAAAAACATTGTCTTTGACAGAATAAACTGATGACGGAACGTATCTTGTCCGAAACGTCGTATTAAACATCTCATTAAACAAATTGTTTTTCATTATGGGTTTACTGTCGGAAAGAAAACAATCAATATATTGAAAAAATCCAGGACTTATCATTGAATATATGTTTATATATATATATATATATATATATAAATATATATACAATTTTGTGTGGGTCTATCGTATATTATTTAGATGGCTCCTGGGGCTTTGGTTCTAAGATCACAGGATTAGAATGCGAAATGAGGTCCTTAATTAACAATACCCAAGGATTCATTCCGAAACAAAACCGTTGACAAGCCAGCTTAACTTCAAATTTAGTTCAAAGCTAGAATTTAATTCAAATACTAGTTGATTTGTTGAAGTTATACCTGAATATTTGAGGTATGTAATTAACCATGTCCTGGTTTACAGATCGATTGAAATGTACTTGTAAGGGTGAGGTTAATTGTATGTATTTACTTGAAACTTTTTTAAAGGAAAAAAGTAATCATTTTGTTGATAGGTTATGATGCTATAATATTGCATTCTCATGGCGCTTTAATGTTTTGGTTATTGACTGAATCAAACTAATTCAGTTCAACTATCAAAAAATATACCAATAAACAAAATATTCTTTAATATAGTTAAAATTAATTGTTTTGTACTTATATTTGATTCAATAAAAACATATGCGCCTTCTAAAAGGCTAGTCGAAGAATGTACATCACAAAATCTTATATAATACATAGTTCTTATTGCTGTTCAAATATATAAAATAATACTATATAACTTTCAGTATATTGCGTTTTATATATAGAAACCAGCGGCCAAAACATCATGTAAGTCATAGGCTGCGAGTGATAAAATTGCTCTATTCGTCTTTATATGCAATAAAAAAATAGTTTCTTGATATCACTCTGACATTTTAGTATGATTAAATCTTTTGAAATTATTAGGTTGCGGTATTTTTATGACGTCTAGATCACTGAGCATACGATCCAAAAATGACATCATTAATCAGCACGATTTCCTACTGCTATCTTAAATTTTCAAAATCGGTTTAGCATTTTTTGCAAAAACGTTGATAATTTGCCAATTTTTATGCTAAATCTAAGGAAATGGCTCAACCAATACTCGTGTGCATAACTAATCGATCCGAAATCTTATCTAGTTTTACCAAATGGCTGTTAATTTAAAGATCAAATATACACACTCATATTTAATCCAAGTTTGTTCTCATTCAATTCAAAATAACTTAAAACGTCGAGAAAATAAAATTAATAAATTGTATTTTTTGGCAAAACTTAAACATAAAAAAATTAAACATACATTAAATTGAACTTAAAAAAATACTGCTATAGTTTCTGTGAAATCTGTGCCCAATTTCAGTTATAATGTAAACAAATCGATAAAAGAGTTAAATCACTTTAGTAGATATTGGGCCGGAAATCCAAACTCTCACTTGACAACAAGCTCCTGATCAAGCCTGTGTCCAGAGACTACAGTCAAAAGCCTTAAGATTGATATCCAAAGCCGCCCTGGTACGTCTCAAACAAAATTATTCATAACGATCTTCAAATGGACTCACTTCAGTACACGAAGTAATAAAAAATAGATGCATATCCCATCTTGACCGTCTCAGAAACCACGGAAATGCTGTAGTCACATTCACCGCTGAATCTTCGAATACAAGGAGAAGATTGAAGAAAAACAACACATCGATTTACTGTAAGTAATTAGGGCTCTCATTGGAGAGTTTCTTAAGGGGCACAACTAGAGTAACCGCCTAAAAAAGGTGATTTTTGGGAATTTATATTAAAAAAACTACTTTATCTATCATTTCAAAATTTTAGGAATATTTTTATACATGTTTTTAGAATGCATAGTAAAATTTTTGAAGAAAAAATTAAATATTTTTTAAGTTATCGTCGATCTCCAACGGCGCGACAAAAAAGGGCCCTTCACTGCTGTAGTGATTCCGGCCTTCTACGTGGATGAAATTTAAAAAAAAAAATCGTTAAACTAGATAATATTGTCTGTAAAATGAACTACGATATAGAAAAAAAATAAAAAATTGACAAAATGACGGCGTTTTTTAAAAAAAGTCGAATTTTACTCAAAATTTTGGTCATTTTTGGACTGCCAAAATTCGATTTTTGATCCAATAAAAAAATCGATAGTTCATTTTACGGAGAACTATATATAGAACATGTAAAAAAAATTTGATAGTGATCAGATCATTTGTTTTTGAGTAATCGCTGCAGCAAATTCGGAAAATTCTGTTTCGAGAAAAAACGCTGTTAAACATAAAATGATCGTTATACTATATACTATATATATACTATTTTAATGGCTGTAACTCAAAAACTATTTAAGATAATCGATTTAAAATTTTGGTATGTTATTTTTAAAGGTATAACCTATCGAAATATGGAAAAATTGAAAATTCGATTTTTTGAAAATTTCACACTCAAACATTTTGAGTTCACGTAGATCCTGAAAGCTTATAGAATATATAGATTCTAATTGGTGTTTAATTTGTAAACAAAAAAAATACCGTTTTGTTATATAAGTCAAAACTAAAGAAGATCGCCGCTCGGCTATAAATAGATAAGATAAAGAGCGTGATATTTCGAACAAACAAAGCTCGAGATCGGAATCGAGATCGAAATCGTAATCGGAAATCGCGTGCCATTCGCGGCACGTCGCGCTCGCGACTCGTTAATTTCATTGTCTTTTGCTGGTCGGAAGTGTCGCGGACGGTTTGTTTGACGGCGGCGTCTATCGTCTTTCAGATATCAACTATCAGGTCAAATCGCACGACGCACGCCTCTTCGACGACCCAGAACCAGACCCAGACCCAGGCATAGTGATACAGTACAATAAAATACAAGGTGTCTTATATGAGTAGCAAGATTGGCAAAAAGCAAATATATTGTTATTACATTTTATGTTATGTTTTTAACCCACTTTCTGAATAACTTTGTAGTATTCGGTTGTCCTTATTTAAAGGATCTCTTCAAAATCATATTAATTGTTTAAATGAAATTACGAAGATTGTTATCAATGTACATCCTAGAAAATTTACGTAAGTTTAAATTCACTGACATAATTTTCATTTACTATTCAAAGGATCCGTACGATCAAGACAAAACTTTGTCTTAAAAAAAGCATAATAATTAAGCATTCCATAATTACATACTATAACAAAGTGAATCTACATGTATAGAAATACACGGTGATAGAACATTATGAGAAAAATGCAAATTGCAATAATATGTGGCGATATCAAGCAGGCTGGTTTTTATTTGTAAAAAACAATGGGACATGTCATGTATATTTTTGATATCGTAATATTTTTATAGTTAATAAATTTATATATTTTTTATATGTCAGGAGTTTATACTTTAATATTAATTAAAACTCCCACATTGGTGACTCACGACGATGGAGATGAAGATAAAGGAGTTTTATTTTTCGAAGATTTAAGAAAAAATGATTTTGACGCAGCACCATAATCACTGGTCTTCAGAGACGACCTATAAGGTACGTCCAGTCCAATCCATCATAGTTAACGCACTTACTATCTGGATCAGACTTCCGAGGTTACTCATTTGGTATACCCAGACCTCAGTTTTTTTTTTTGCTGACAGAAAAAATAATTTGGAGCCTGAACTTTTCATTGGAATGCAATTTAACCTCTCTTTCTCTGTTAACTCAACAAATCGTCTTATAATGCTACCTCCCATTATCGGTGACAACGACGAGTCAAAACAAAATTTGATATAATTTATTGGATTTCACAATTCTGGACTCTTATGTCAAAGAAACCAATGATCCTGATTTGGATAAAGAGCCAACTTCTTTCTCTGATCGGAACTCATCAGATACGAATGCAACGCTTGCAGAAATGGAAACTGTACCCATAAATTATGCATTCTAAACATTAAGTAATTCTGATATAACTAATACCAATTAGATGGAGGCTGAATCTTAGAAGTTCACCGACATCGAGGTACAGGAAATTTTCCACAGTTTTTCATTAATCAGAACCTTATGCAGAATATGGAGTTGATGGCAGGTCGAATCACCACATACGGTGGATCTGCTGACGAAACATGGAAATTTGTGATTAACCAGTATTACAACACTGGTCTGCTATAATCTGCTTTCCCACCACATTTTTATAACGTGTTTCCCTGTGTTTTTTTTTTTTTAAACTGTGAGATCAACACTGGGCAGGGAGTGTGTGGCGATATCAAGCAGGCTGGTTTTTATTTGTAAAAAACAATGGGACATGTCATGTATATTTTTGATATCGTAATATTTTTATAGTTAATAAATTTATATTTTTTTATTATGTTGGGAGTTTCTAATTTAATATATTATCATAATCATTACGACTCCCACAAATATTATAAATATGAGCCCGTCATGCAATGGTTAAGGACGTGGGCTAGCACAAACTAATACTGGGATCGATTCCCATCAGCCACCAGTTATAATTTTGTTTTGCATAAATATAGAAATACAGGAATTGCGTTAATATAAGCGCTCTATGAACAAGAGACAAAACTGGAAAATTTTGAAAAGTGGAAAAGACTAAAGGATTAATTAACTAAGTTAGAAATTAGAAATTGGATGATGGATTACTTGTGCTACAAATGAAATAAAAAACTGAAAGCCGGAACATGTATATGATCTAGAAACTTTGATGCACAAGTTTGAGTGTGATAAAATAAAGAGAGAGAACTTGGAACAATAGTAATCGCATATCATAGAGTAGTTTGAATTCATTATTATATTAATAATTCCTAACTTACTTGTTCGAAAACGCTTTCTATCACAGTGCATTTCTGTTTTCCATCACAACGTATTTCTATATATGTATAAAATAGATTCACTTTGCGACAATATTAAACTTTTGCAATAGTAATTATGGCATGCCTAATTATCATGCTTTACTTGTAGCAAAGTTTTGTCTTCAAGCGAATTCAAATTAAGACTTATATCAATTTTGTGGTTTTCTTAAATAATTAGTTCCGCGGTGTTCGCAACAAAACAATTTTTGTAATTAAAATTTAACGTGTAACAATAATTAATAATTGTAATTAATAATTAATGCAGAATTCGGTTATATGAGATATTCAGTATATTTTCAGAAATAACTTTATAATTACAAGAATCTAAAAATAATTAAAATCTCACGAGTAGTATCAGAATTTGTTGTTATGTTACCATATTATAACTATTTCTAACAATTTGTTTGTTCCAAATCACGATGTATTCCTGTACATGTATAATATGAAGTCATTTTGCGACAGTATTAAACTTTTGCAATAGTAATTATGGCGTGCTTAATTAGCATCTTGACTTAAAGCAAAGTTTTATTTCACAATTGTACAGATTCTTTGGAGAGCAAATGTAAATTAAAACTTATATACATTTTATGATTTTCGAAAATAATTAGGTCTGCCATGTCCGTGGTGAAATACTATTCTTAATTGTAATTTAACGTTTTACAATAAAGATGAATTCCATTTTGAACAGATATGATAATAAGAATAACCAAATACTACAAAATTATTTGAAATATGGGTAAAAACATAAAAATGTAACCACAATATACTTAAAAAAGGGTAAATATATAAAATATAGAAAATGTGGTCAATACATGAGCGTGTCTTATTACATAAATAAGGACATCCAACTACAGCAATGCAATAGGAGACTAAAAAGTATTACAGTAAAGTATTGTAAATGTGATCTTTGAGTCATCTTAGCATATATTTTCAAACATATATTTTCCGTAATAAATTGATAAGAGAGATTGTTATCTCACCAGTAGCAGAATGTTCGACTCCCGGTCCGAAGGGAAAGAACCGGCAATGTAGACATCGAGTCGTCGTCCGGCCATCTGTTCCGGGTTGGGACGCTGGCAGTGGCCGATGGGCGCGTAGCATGCCATCAGGCACGACACGAACGCGATCAGCCGTACTTGGTGGCAACCTGCGGACCCCATCTCATCAGGACCAGGACACGACGGACTGTCCCGTACTGCTTGCCACCGAGAAGGGTCCGAGAGCGTAACCTGGAACAACAAATATAAGATAAACTTTTCTGCATCGCATTCGAGATACTATATAACTATACATATAAGACATTTTTAAATAGTAGTGCAGAAATATTCAGGACTAGTGGTGCATGGCAAATTGCTGGAACTTTGCATACCGTAATTTCTTGAAAGCTTTAAAACATTTTTGAAACATTTGAGAAAACATTTTTTGCGAATTTTTTTTAATCATATATTTTTTGAAAACTTTTGACGCGCGTAAGCGTCGCGTCATAGTCTAAAGGTTAAATATTATAAATCTTGATACGGTTCTGTAAACAAAAATTGTACTTATTTTTAAAATATCTATTAAATATCTGATAATTTGATGTGCATATGGTTTAATGATCCTTTAGACCGACAAATGGCATTTTTCAAATCTTGTCAAAACAAAAATTTGATCAATTATTCAGTCCATCAATATAAATAAAATGTTTTTTGAATTATTCAAATCGAACGCTCCGTTCTCTCAAAAACCGACTTGCCATTTTTAGCACTTTTTGTCCCTTATCTTTGATACGACTGAACTTGCCTCTGCCAAAAGTTAATCAGCCAAAAGTAATTGAAGGTTTTTTGAATAACTCAAATCGGTTGATCTGTGCTCTCGAAATCGTTGACAAAAATTGAATCCACACACATACGCGCACAAATATACATACATCAATTTTTTGCTACAATGTTCGGGTTGCTTTGAAACGTAAATAAATATTAAAATTTTCATTTTCGTGCGTTTATTTAACCTATTTCATAAGAAGTTTAAGGATGTATTCTAGTGTAGAGCTATGAATTTTAGGTCATTTTTAAAGTGTCGTAAAGGAAAGCAATGAATGTTTTTACTATCAGTTTTTTTACCACTTGTTTATTAACATTATTAAAATACAAAACAAAAATAAAAAAGTTGAAAATTGTACAAACTGGCAGCTGTTAAAGTGGGTGGTCTAAAAAAAATGGCACTTCAGTCTTGACATGATTTCAGCCCTCCTAGCCATCGGAAATGCAAAAAATAAAAAGATTATTAATCTACAATGATTAATACTACTAGCGATGAGTAAATTTTTTTTTTACAATTTGGCGACTGTTTAAAAAAAAAGTGTTTTTTACTGTTTTTTTGAGTTTCTCGAATTTTTTAAAAATAGTAAAAATTGGAATTTGGGGATAATCTTAGTTCGGGCTATAGATAGGTCTATAAACAAGACTCTCTGAACATTCAAGTAAATCGGTCGAATAAAACTCGAGAAATCGTGTCAACAGTACTGAAAAAGTCTCTTCTAAGAAAAACGCATTTGAAGTTTTGCGTGAAGCCAAACTAGTATGGAGACCGAGTCAGTAAAATGCCTATATCTCCGAAAATAATTCCAATTTTCAAAAACTTCTCGTACCCATATTCTTAGATAATTAAACTTTAAAAATATGAAATAAAAAAAAATCGATTTTTTGAAATTTCTACACTAGAATACCCCCTTAAAAGCAGACAATATTCACCCTCTGATACTTAATCCTCAAATAAAATTATTTTCAATAAGATAGGAAAAATTATACGGTAAACAACAAATTCCAATAAATATTTTGGAAACAATACGATATCAACGGTTTTTGCTGGCATACAAATTTCTTTAAAAAATCATCTATTCTCCGAAGAAAACCGAGTAAGAACCGAGCAATCAAATTGAATAACATGGTACAATTTTGAAGTTCCAAAACTGTTAATAAAAAAACCTTTTAATTTGTTCAGCAGATAATGGAATACAACAAGCGCTGAGCGTGTACATCAGTAAGGTGTATTTACTTTTAATGATCATTCCAACGTTTAACGAACAAGCAGAATAAACATTAAATATAATTGCGTTTGGACAAATTCTTGTGCTCTCCGCTTCCGAGCAATTCGTAACAGAAAAGTATACCGAAACGACGACGCCAATCCCGGTCAGAATCAGAAGTAGACACTGGAACATTGTATATTCCAGGCACTTGGAAACGATTGAATAACTGAATACATTTATTCAAATTCACAATGTCAAAACAGAATTTTATTATGAAAACAATTAACAGACATAAATGGCAATATGATTCAGATCAGATGCCATTATAATAAATAAACAGACATAAATTGAACCAAATAAACAGTATATTACTTAACGAATATATACGATAACATGATAGAGTCAGGTATTTTCTTTGGAACGGTTGGTCGTACCCAGTACCCCAAAACCATGGTAAAAATCACAATGAAATTATAACTCAAAACGCAGAAGTATTCATAAATAAACCATAAATAATTTTTTGAGTAAAAAATGAGAGTTTAAGTTCAGAAAAATAAAATCATGAGTAAACATAATATTAAATATTAGAAGAAGAGTATATGAATAATGAGATAATTGGCATCGTTTAATCAGCATAATTGTGATGCTCAGATGTAACAGCAAACATAAAAATTCGTTCGTTTCATAGAGAGTATCACTAGAGTAACCTACAAAAATTTTATTTCATTTAAAAATTCAAAATCAATAACTCTGAATGAATAGAGCCATTCTGAATTGATAGAGAAAGCTCAGCAATTTTGTTTTAATAAAATCAAAAGATAAATTAAAAATTTAAAAAATATTTGCATATAACATAACCTAAAATAATCTCTAACATATTAGATTACTTCAACATTTGTATTATTCATATATACACAAAAATATAATAAATAAAAACCTCGTTACTACATTTGATATTTAACAAGTTTTACGCCACGATAATATCAGAAAATTTTCCCGTGGGCCATGGTAACTTATTAAGTAATTGAGTTAAAAATGTATCAAGAAAACTTAATGTATCAAAGATTTTTTTTGCCAACTTCCTGGAAAATACTATTTATATGCCACACATGTATGACTGACATGGCTCTATATTAAAACTATATTTGCCTTCTATCAAATTGCGTATGTCAAGACGTGACTAATGTAGAACTTTTTAGTGTCACCCACATATGACTGACATGTGTTGAATTGTAATATTTATATATCATCAAAGTTATTTTATTTTTATATATAGAGCTTAGAATTGAAGTTTTATATATCTTTTGGAAAGGGTTTGAATGTTTCATCGTTTGACCACGTCTAAAGATAATTGTACTCGAAGTGGCCATGCGATCGGCCTGGTGCCTCCGGCCCCGGCCCGTCTTGCGGCCGATCGTCCATCTGCCTGTCCGTCCCAAGTGCAACCCGGCCATAACCCGGCGATAACCCGGCAGCGGTCATCGTCCACGGTCGTGCGACATCCCCGCGGATATCATTGCGTGGTTACGCCATTAGCTAATTGAGTTCGCGTCGTCGATGTAAACGACTCGTCTAGGTTTAACACGTGTCGGGTTTAATCACATAATGTTATTAGCTTCGCGGTGTCGAATACTAATTTTTTAACACTGCTTATTCACAGAGGCAAAGATAGGTGCGCCACATCTACATATATCAAAACATTAATATTATATTGATTGTGAGATAAACAGTTATTCTAAAACAGGAGACAGCGACGATATCAATTTCGAATTTCGAGCACGCGAACAACTCGATCTAAAAAATATAGCCGGATGGGGTAAATAAAATAAATAAATAAATGGGTTTATAACATACGATATGAAATAATATTTTACAAATGAAAATGAAAACAGTACCTTGCGATGCTTATTGTTTCCCTGAAATCTTTCGGGGCATAAGAGAAAATCCAAGTAGCGGTTTACGTTGTAATATACCGGGTGTAGGGAAAGCAAATATCATTACGCAAAAGCTCGCACTGGCGTCGTTAATTAAAATGCGGTATCAGCATAATGGCGCCGTGATAATTTTCGCAAAGCATAAATAATATTTGTTTCGGACATGGGCTATATAAATACATATGCATATACAATAGGACGAGTCAAATTTTTGGGTCTTTGAGTTACTTCGCATTATGATTCTGCGGGTCTTTTCAAGAATTTTGCTGAAAAAATTACAATGCTAAGAAATATTGTAATATATTTTTATTGATATCTATTAGTTTGTGAATGATGGTCTCCACGTAACTCGACCGAAACTTATGATTTGTATAAACCAGTTATTTTTTAATTACTCAGTTTTTTATTCTTGCCATGCCTAAATATATATATACAGTGGCGTCGGCTCAGCCCACCCATGAATTTTGATGGAGGGGCTCAGCCCACCCATCAATTTCAAAAAATTATATGGGCTACTATCTCTAAAAAAAAATGAGACCACTGGCTGTCTATCTAAAAAAAAAAAAAAACAAGCCCACCCATCAAAAATTTGGTTCCGACGCCACTGTATATATATATATATATATATATATATATATATCGATCTATTACTATCGGGTTAAATCGTAAGTTATACCTTATTATTTTTATATGATGTGACTGAAATCATATTGTTCCCTGTCAGGCACAATGTTCGACTCGAATTGAAATAGATACTCACATGCAAAATCGATATTAGCATCTAATTTTACAAGTACGCTTCGAGAAGAAACATCCAACAAATTTTCAATTTATTGAATATCACATCTATGTTTTTCATAACGAAAATTATTCAAATTAATTGTATTTTAATGATCTTATTTAAAAAATGAACGCAAATTATTTTTTATTTAAATAGAACAAAAATTTTTATATTTTTCGACAAATGAGAAGCCTGTATCTAAAATCTGTTAGAAAAGCTAATTGTAAGACAAGATATACAATATCTTGTGCATAGATATCATAAAATTTTTACATACAGTGTTTTCAAGTATTTAAAATTATGCACTTTTCAAGTTTGATAAAGTGCATAAAATAACTTAAATAATTCACAAATATAAGGTTCCTAAAATTATATT